TGTCAGTGGGGGGCGGGGCGCAGCGGTCGCCCGCGGCCGCTGAGGGGGGAGCCCCGCCGGGCCCCGAGCGCCTCGCCTTCCCTGTCCCTGGGGGTCTCTCAGAGGAAAGCCGAGGGGCAGTACGCTTTTTGCCCCTTTTTTCAGGGAGAGGGGGACCCCCTCCCCCGGGTTTTCAGAGGGCTAAGACCCCAGCCCGGTCCGTGTGCGAGGTCTGGGTTGGCAGGAGGGGTTTGGCTCCGAAGATGAGCTCGTCGGAGGAAGAACCGAGCGATCATGCAGTCAGGCACGGCAGTGCTTAGCTGTAACCCGACCCCGTGTTAAAAAGCTTTCCAGAAAAGCTGAAAGTACTTCTTATTTACAGGTTTCCTCTTACAAGACCTGATCTTTGCAAGAAATGGGAAGCTGCTGTTAAAAGGAAAAACTTCAAGCCAACCAAGTATAGCAGCATTTGTTCAGAACACTTTACTCCCGATTGCTTTAAAAGGGAATGCAACAACAAGCTTCTGAAAGAAAATGCTGTGCCCACAATATTTTGTTATACTGAGCCCAGTGAAAAGGTAAACCCAAAGCACTCGTAGTTTAAGGTACTGGAATGCACGTGCATGTTGCTCATATCAGTTTAGCAGGGCTTGGTGTAGCAGAGCGGCGGGGAGAAGATGCAGATTGTGAAGGATACTGGCTGAGTATGTGCACCTGGAGGCTCCTGGAGGGCTGTGGTGGCTGAAACACGTCCAACAGCTGTCCTCATTTGCTTTGACAAGAGCAGAGATGTATGCTGTCCGAGGCTCTGGAGCAGGTAGAGCATTGTACAGACAGGCAGTAGCTCTGATCTGCGCTTGTGTGCATACGCAGAAGCCTGAGCAGCATAACTTCGGTTAAAACCTTGTGCTGAATTAAATGGAACAGCAGGAAAGCAAGAAAGTATTGCCCTGTAGTTAAGTTGTCAACTGTATTTGTGGCATATTCGGAGTTTTAGAGAGCCTTCAACAGTGCTTGCAAATTGCACTGTACTCTCCCATGGTGACTGGTGGCTACTGCTAACGTTGAAGAGATGATGTACCTTAGTTCTGAAACTTAACTCTCCTCTCTAAAGGGCTCTGTACTCTGGCTTCGCAGAGTTTACGTGAGATGCAGAGGGGCAGAACAGTAGCTGCACCTGCTATCTGTCTGTGCTGAAACCATCTCTGTCTTGCCTTAACGGTTACCTTGGGTTCATTAGCCAGACTGGTCCCTAACTTCTGTCTCTGAACTTGTGATGGTAGTCTCCTGTGAGATGTATTGTTCACTCACTGTGCTGCTAAAGCAGCTTACCGTAAGATACAAATCGGTTCTGAGTTCTTCCTTCCTGATGTAATAATTGCAAGACGAGAACAGAAAAGATTGATTCTTAACTCCTGTTAAGGATACAAAATACTAGATCTCTTGTCACTTTGCCATAGAGGAAGGGGCAAAGAGGAGAATGGATATGATAGGTCTAGGGGGTGAAAGACTGTAATGGGATGAAGTGCACAGAGGAAAACTGGGACTTTTGCTTGTTTGATTTTTCTCTTTATATACAATACTGGATTTGATGGAGAAATAAAAAGGGAATGTATTTGAAAACTGAAAAGTGGCTAGTAACAGAGAAGAGAATATAAGCAGAAGGTATATGAGGAAAGACGGACAATTTCCAGGTAAATACAGCTGTGTTACGTTTCTTGTTTGATTACGCTTCCCTGCTGTCTGTACGACACACATTTTCTTTGTCATGTGTAAAATAGTTGCAGAATTTTTTACAGCCTGAAAGCTGAATGGGTGTATAGGGTGATCTGCAAAAGTGCGATTGGTGCAGCAGGATTAGTGGTGAGCCACATTCCCCATTTCATTATCATGCCTGGATCTACAAAAACACAAAAGAGAGCCTTTTAATTATGGAGAAGGATTTAGTGCTATTCCTGTTTGTCTCACAGCACTTTTAAATGGACTGCCACATATCTTCAAGAAATAACGTAGTAACAGAATACCACCACAATAGTATACAATAGTATACCACCACAATAGTAGCGGTTGTTCTGGAATTGAATCCACACTGATTTTGAAATACAGCTTTTTATCTTTTGCATTATGTAATTTGACATACTTTCTTTTTCATTACTTATGTCTTCAGAGAATCATTTTTTGGCTGTAAGAAGTAATTAGAATTCACTTATGATGTGTCAGTGATACCAATGATCTGTTCTCCGTGATACGTTGTGACAATAGTAATGTATTTATAGAGGTAGCATGTGCTGGATAAGCTGCAAATGGAAGTCTCTGTGTGAATTCAGCTGTCCAGCAATGACCTGATTTTTGCTTGTGCTTCCAACAAGGGTGAATTTCTCTTTGCCAATTGCATCTTTGCCTTGTAATTTTTTAGTACAAGAGTTTGAAAGTGATAGCTGATAGGGTCAAACTCTCTAGAATATTCATGTGAGAATTAGATAGGCACACTGTTAGCAGCGATTTCTTATAATTGTGAAAGAGTGGTAGTTGGCTGGTTTTGTACCTTAAAGTGATCAGTAATATTTGCATATGAAACTTCTTTCAACAACAATCAAAACCGCCTTCTTCAGTTCCTGTCTGCCAAGTGTTGTAGTTTGTACAAGAGGGATATTGAGCCCCCAATATCAATGTTAGCTTGTTTGCATGTTAAGTCAAGGAAGTTAATGACATGACCTTCAGATCTGATGAGCTTGATATTTAGATGATGAGCATTGTCAGCTGCTCTTATAGTCAACATTGTCCCTGTCCTTATGCTTTTATGTGTAGTAATAATATTGGCAACAGGTGGGTAGTTAGAAAATTCGTTCAGTGCCTCTTTCACTGAGAAAGTCTTAGGCTTTCTTTTTGACAGGCAATATGCAAGCTCTTTTGTTTAAACAGTGCTTTTTTTTTATCAACATGTGCACAGCAGCATTTCTGAATTATACTGCATTCCTTTGGGGCAGAAGGAATCTGATTCTCTGCTCTGGCCTGTACTCAGGTGGTGAGGGATCCGTGTTGTCCTGAACCGTACAAGTAAACCTATCGAGAGCAGTATGATAAAGACTTCAGTTTCGTGTGGAGTTGAGCCAATCGATATTCTGCTGCTGCCAAAAGGGAGAATCGTGCTTCTCCCTTCTCCATCCCATCTGCCAGCCGTGCAGTCCTGTTTCTCACTCCTTCCACACACCAGCACAGGTGTAGGTCATACTTCGTGTTGCATTGCTTTGACTTTTAATAAAGGACAGAAGAATTCTGCAGTGATGGTGGGAGAGTGAATAGCTTTCTGTCATCTTAGCAACTTACTATGTTTGAGCAAAGAGTAAATACCAGGGCTGGGAGGGCTGCTTTGCTCTTGAAGAGCTGTTTATTTTGGCTCATCACGTCTCTTGAAACCAAACCCTTATGCTATAGCCCGAAAGCAGTGACACAGTGCCTTCCAGTTGTTGAGAGGCAGGCCTTGCTGTGCCTACCTCTCTGCTCTGCTAGCTTATCAGCCCCCGCAGTAGGTGACCCTTATTTTACCTCAGCAGATGATCATCTGCTTCTGCTGTGTTTTTGATTAAGTTAGCTGATAGGTTCAAAGTATATAATGGTAAGATGCAGCAGAAAGAAGGAGAGACAAAGGGGAATGGGGTGGCAGTGATGAGTTACTAGGTCAGCTGAACTCCTTTTTAAAGACCTGCAGCCTGTGTTCCTGCTTCTTAGCTAATTGTGGATATGTATTTGACCTAAGTCTTCAAGTGAGAGTAATTGCTACGTTCTTCAGTTTTTTATTTATTTGAAACATGAAGGACTTGAGTTTCAAGAGCCCTGAAAACGAAGCTGCTTAAAAATATCTCCAGTTGACAAGCCAGACAAAACAGGCCCAGAACTGTTTGTTAATTTTGAAAATGTAGGCTTTGAAATTTATTTTATTAATTCAGTCTTGGTTGTTTATGTTATTCTGGGGCTGTAGTAAGGGAGTTGTGTTGTAAACAATGTTAAGCATGAAAACGTACTTTTTTTTCTTGTTGTTTGTAGCCTGAAGAATTAGAACAGCCACCAGAAGATCCACTACCGCCGCCTCAGCCCACGCCACCGCAGCCGCCCAACCCAACAC